ATATAAATATTAATATAATAAATATTTTTAAAAACAAACAAAACCTGAAGTTAAGGTTGTACACAATTTTGATAAGAGTAAATCACGATGTAATCATAAGTGTAAACTAAAAATAAAAAAAACTGTAACAACATAACAAATTCTGTAACAAAAAAAAACTCACACCGTTTGATACACCAGTTATATAGTTTCAATTATAAAAGCAATTTTTTTTAATTGGAATATTAAAACTATATTGCAGTTTTAAGATACACACACATGCTTGATCATAATAAAAATAAAATAAAAAAAGAATATAAAGGAAATACCAATGAGAATATAAAAATTTCACATAAAATTCGATTCAATCAATATATTTTTAAAACAAATTTAGTTATATAGTACAATGCCCTAAAAAAGGATTTTATGTTATTTAAAGTCTAACAGTTGGAGCATGTATACTAATACTTAAAAATGGCCAATTTTCACATATGAATGGTCATTATACCCTTGATAAAACAAAAACTAATTAGTACAGTTAAATTACAATCTTCACCATAATAAATTTGGAAATATTCATTAAAAAAAAAACTTTTTTTTAAAAGGTACGTATCAAACTTTAACTCACCAATTACGCAGAAATATCAGAATGAAAAATATGCCTTATTAAAAAAGAAAAATGAATAATTGTTATAACTGCAAAAATTAAAAATAACAAATTGGCTGCCAATTTTTTAAATTAAAAGTTTTTGAATTTCATTTATAGTGAGCAAAATTAAGTTATCACCCTTAATAATTTTAATATAATAATCCACTTTTCAAATAATAACTTGAACTTAATAGTTTAAGGGTTATGCATGAAATATGCCAATTAATTAGTGTGGAGAATATTTAAGACAGTGATATCCAACACAATAATGTTCTTTCTCTAAATAAACAAAGGTTTTTTCAACAGCTAAAATTTTTGACATTCAAAATAAAGGAGGGTGAGATTAGCTATAATATGAAAATTTTATCCCAAACGATAGTCAGTACAGTGGCTTAAAGTCCTTAAAGTTAATTTTACTTTCTGCATATTTTGCACACAATCATAAAACTTGTTTATTCTATTTAATAAATAAATAAAAAATTCTATTAACTTGATCAATAAAAATATTGTTTTCCATTATTTATTCTGTTTAATAATCAGAAGTTGAAAAAGTTTTCATTATTTTGAACTAACTAGCTTAATTGACAGAAATTAAAATTTTAACAGTAAATAAAATTTTTTAATTTAATCAAATTTTTTTTCTTCTTAATGACTGTTATTGCAGATATAAATTAAAGAATAAACTATTAATACAATATTAGCTTCAAGCAAACATAGCAAAGTAAAATAACAAAACATTTCATGCACACAATTTAACAAACAAATAAGTCACAATTAAAGTCAAACTTTAAATTAAATAACATGAAACAATTTATGCTAAAATTAGAAACAAACATAAAATAATAACTGAATTGTGCACTATAATTAATTATTATACAAGCTGAGGATGACACAAGTATCAAACTTTTTTTCCAATTGTTTAATTTATGAGGAAGAATAGTTAAAAAAGAAGAAAAAAAACTATCAAGCCTAAATCAGTCTAAAATGCATGCTCAAAAGCTCTGCAGCTTTATTATTATTATTTTCTTTTTTTACTATCTTTTTAAGTAGAATATTTAATAAAACTTGCTATTTTTAAATTAAATTTTAGAATAATTTTATTTTTCTTAGTAGGTACTGAATTCTATTATCCCTAATTTTCGATTTTTTCCAAAATTACTAGAATAGTATAAACTTATATCACACATAAAATAAATTTCATCAACAAATTTTAATTATTGATTTACTAGATTGCCTTCACGACGAGTTTCAAAGGTTTGCCCTGTGGCATTTGCTATGCCCAATATATGAATTTTGAAACTCATAACTATTAAAAACAAAACTATTTTTCAAGCAAAATTGAAACAAAGGTATAACTTAATTATTAATGCATAAAAGGCTGCAAAAATATCAACACTATAAACAAAAATATATTAATACTGTTACTCAAAAGGCTGCTTGAACAAGCTCAATAAAAAACATCTTTCCATATAAATTACAGAACTAGGGGGGGGGGAATACAATAATTTGAAAGAGAACTGTGTAAAAAATTCAAAAGCATATTTGTGAAACAATGATTAAAATAAGAAATAAGTTTAAAAATTTTTTTTAATTTTTCTTTTATGAACATGAATTAGTATAATAAAGCAAACAAAAAAAATATAAATTAAACACAAAAATTTACCTTCTTTAGATGATTTTTTTTTTTGGTGACAGATTCAGGTTTTTGACCCTTTTAATATTTAAGGTAGCAGTAATCTGGAAAAGATAGTACCACCCATATTTTGAGAATCAAAAATTCAAATCCATTCCAAAAAAGGTAAGTTTATTCTGAGAAAGTTTGCTATTGCGTTTGATTTTGTAACTTAAAATACTGTCAGAACAAATTAGCACAATTAAGGCTAATGCTTAAAGCTAGGCTCTTGAACCATTATGTCCTGGTACATGAAAACCCAATCATTAGATCAAAAGTTTTTCAATTCAGGACGTTCACATTTTTATTGAGCGCTGTACCTACCATTACATTTGGAAATATGAATAGAGATAAATTATTATTTAACACTCATAATAATAAGATATCTAAAAAATACTCTTAAGACAATATTTATATTAAGATAATATTCACATTAAGATCATGTTTCAATAATAATATTCTTAAACATTTTAAAATAATAACATTATTTAACATTTATTCAAATTATCTAGTCCTCTTGTTTAAATTTTTTATTAAATTACTTAAAATTAATATATTTATTCTTAAAACATTTCTCTATGACTGCAAAATATTATTTTTATATAACTCCAAAATAACTGAATTTTACTACTAAAAAAATCATTTAGATCAAAAACCCATTATAAATTAAAAGATCACTGAAATTGTGCCAAATACTTTTCGCTTAGATAAGAGAAAAAACCTTTTTTCATAGTAGTTTAGACTAGTAAAAAAATCAAATACCCTCAAAAACCAATTAAACAAATGGAATGTACAAACAAAAATAAATATGAACTCTTTAACAAGACTCAATTGAGTTAAAAACTTAGCACCTCAAAATATGACACAATTCACATGTTTAAGAGATAACATGTTTTTAAGACATGTTTTAAGAGATTTTTTGTAGAATTATATATCATTTAAACATATAAGAATATCAAAAGCAACTTTTTAATTATAAAGCAAGTGAAGAAGTTTTCTATTTACCCTCTCCCCTCATAGATCGCTCTACCAGATTTGAAGAGTATTCTCATTATTTGAGAGAACTGCTACAATGTCCAAATAAGCTCAAAGAGCATTTCACTCTTCATGCTGTTTCAAGAAAAAACTAATAGATTCAAATGCTTGTTAGCTTGTTAAAAAAAACATGCTAAATAGATTTTTTATACATGACAGGGGTATTTAATATGACTTGCTATACAGTTTAATTGAAATATGTTAAATTACAGTTGCATGTTACTGGTAATAAATTTAGCATTTCTATCAAACTTACATATTTTCTTGAGGAGACATTTCCTTACATTTAAGAATAGAAATAAGAATTTTTATTCGTCATAATATACATGAATTAAAATAATTTCAATACAAAAATAAAACTTCTTCACTAACCTTAATATTAAAATAAGATTTCATAATCAGTTGTAATACTATTTTGTCTGTGTACATTAAGTACATGTGTACTTCCCTTTATAATGTGACCAGGTTTTGCTCTTAACTAAAACTGCATCCATAAAACATAGCAATCATACCTGATACATTAATATAAAAGCAATAGTCAAACATTTTGAAGCACCAAAAAATTTATGATTTAGATTTTTACAACTTAATATTTTGCAGCTGTTTTCGGTTTGGGCATGACTAGATGATTGGTAACGGACTATAAATTACACCATCTTAAATATAATTCATTAAACACATAGATATGCTGCAAGCAAAAATGACAACACATCGTATTTACAAAGCAACAATATTTTTAATGCAATTCAATAGATTTCAGCATATTTCATGCATACAATTCTAAATAAAGAGGTAAAAAGTATTCAACTTGCCTTCATTTATAATTTAATTATGAAGATACAAATAATAACTAAAAAAATAAGTTCAATGAAAACTTCCTGATCTTATCAGAAGGTTCTTTTTTTCTGTATTTTAAAAGTAGAAAATAAAGTGGACAAAAACATATCTTAAATACAATTGTAGATTTTTATGTACTAAAACTCAATCTTTATTAGCACAGACAATATTTTAAGTCAAGAGATTAGCCACAAGTACATACTTTTTTGGATAATTTCTTTTCAGCGGATTTGTATGACCCTCTAAGTCACAACCTGGAAAATATGGTCCCAATATTTTAGGAAGAAGTTTGATCCTATTAATATCAAATTCACTTTTTGCTTATTTTATTATATCACAATGAACTTATACTGAATTTTTGAGCATCCAATTATAAAATTAGTTTATGAAAAGATAAATCCTTGTAAAAAATAATTTTCAGGAACATTTATTATTTTATTTAATAATAGTGAAATTTTAAATTGTAAGGTATACAAGTTTTTATGTAATTTTAAAGTATGTTATTTTAAATGACGAAATTTGCAAAAAATTTATCAAATAGTTTTTAAGTTATCAAAATTTATATATTTTACTTCTAGAAAATTATTTGAACAATTTTGTTCAGATGCTTTGTCATTTGAAATTACCTGCTTTAAAATAATATAGAAATTTGTATTCCTTACAATAAAAACATTTTTCTACTATTATTAAATAAAGTAATAAAAAAGTATTTATTTTTATATGGATGTTTGCAAAAATGTTTCAATTGGCTTAAAAAGTTCTGCTCTCCAACCTAAATTATTGAAACATTTTTAAAATTGCGGCTACTTCTATTATCAGCGTTTCTCAACCTTTCAGTATTCGCTCACAAATTTCCATTCATAATTTTCATTGCGCTCCCGCATTCAATAAAATTTATACAATAATAATGTATTTTGAGTATTTTGGCAACTTTAATTTTAAACCTTACAAATTACCAAGAATACGGAAATTTATTTACATTTAGCAACACTGATCCTAAGCATAAACAAAATAAGAACTCAGTGTCTTTTTATTGCTCTTGTGTCCACCAAGCGGACATTTTCACTGTTTCCCGAGAAGCTCCGATTTGTCCTGAACATTCTGGAATGTCAACAAGATGCTGAGATGTGAGCAAATGTTTTCTCATAAGGAGAAGGAGAATGTTCAATAATGCCAGTTTCACTTCCAGCCAGTCTCTTGAGTTGATCCTTCTATCGCTATCGAATCTATCGTTAATGTGTATATTGTATATATTTTTGTGTTAATTGCAATTCACAGTTTTAAATATTCACGGCAGCAGATTTAAGCAGAATCGTGGATAAATTTTTAAGAGGGTGTAAGCAAGCATTAGACAATAGTCAAGCATCAACAAGTATACAGTTGAGTGTGTTTCCGAAAATGAAATCAAAAAAATATTCTCAAGAATACTTAAATTTTGGGTTTACCAGTATTGAAGTAAATGAAGAAGAAAGGTCCCTGCGTATCATTTACTCAAAAATGTTGGCAGCAGACAGCGTGAAACCTAATAAACTTAAACGACATCTGGAAACACGTCACAGTGGCATCAACAAACCCAGACAATTCTTCTAATTAAAATAACATGAAAAGCATAAATCATTTTTTTAAAAAACTTTGTCAGTAAATGAAAAAGCTTTAATTGCCTCTTACGAAGTTCCATATAAAATAACCAGATAAAATGCCTCGCACCATAGATGAAGAGCTTATTTCGCCAGCAGCAATGAGATTGTAGAAACGATGTTAGGAGATAATTTTGCAAAACAATTGCAGTCCACGCCTCTTTCAAATTATACTGTTGCCCGTCGAATTGGTGATATAGCTGAAGATGTACTGTGTCAGCTTTTCTAGAAGTTGTATGACAAATTGTTTTTGATACAGCTCAAACAGATATTAATAAAGATGCTCATTTCTTTGCCTATGCTTGATTTTTTTTATATGTCAGTAGTAAAACTACTTTTCTGCAAACCAATAAAACTCAAAGCAGCACTCACACCTTTTGCTATCTTAAATTATTTTATGAACGAGGCAAACATAGAATGGATAAAAAATGTGTCGGAATATGCACTGATGGTGCTCGTTCAATGTTCAGAAGATTCGAAAGGATACAATCACTTGTAAAACAAAAATGCCACAGTGCTTCTGGTCTCATTGCATGATCCCCAGCGAAGCTCTGGCTCCACAGATTGAGAATTGCTGGGTTAAGCTAAAGAACCAATAAGACTGAGTCTTAGTACGTAAAAATCGGATTATTACACCAAAAGTTATTCAAGTTGTTCATTTTCTTTATACTGTGTACTTATCAATTATATAAGCTGCAACACGTTTTTTAACAATGAAATAATGTTATCATTGCTCACATTGAGTATAATTTCAAGCAACTTCATGAAAAAATATCAATAACTATTGAAAATGTATGCACACATATGAAGCCATTTTACATGTTGATTACAGATCTGAAAATATTTATAGCATATATTTAAAATTCTTAAGAGAGAGAAGATAGAATATTTTTGTAATTATGATCATACCAGATATTTCTTTTTTTAATACATAATCTAGTTAAAAAAAAACTAGTTTTTTTTATTAATGATTGAGTAGCAGAGTTCTGATATTTTTGGCATATTCTTTAACAAATAATAATTATAATGAAATAAAAACATATTTAGGAATTAATGTCTGATTAAAATAAAAACTCTTAATTAGATGCAAATGCTTTATAATCAGTCACAATTAAATAATATGGAAATGCTTTTAAGCTTTGGGGAATGCTTTAAATATTTTTAAAATTAACTTGTAATGTAATATTGGTTATCTAACTAGATCAATTCCAACAGATTTCTGAATTAAATAAAATAGCTAGCTGAAACAATTACTCACACATCAATAGACAGTAAAAAACTCCTAATTAGGAAAACTGTACACTATACAATGTTTTTTAAAAAAATCCTAGGAAAGAAACAAGAACAAGGGTAGTTGGGAGATAAATTTATACAACATAAATCAAAATATGGATAAATTTTTTTTCATTGAAACCTTATGTTTAAAGTAGCATGAAGTGAAGAAAGAAAAACTTTCAATCTTATCTCTTCTTGACCAAATTTCAGCTATTTTCGAAAAAAATTTGATCAAGTAATTTTGAGAAATTTTCAATCACAGATCCAATAATCCCCTGAAAAAAAAAAGGTGATTAAAAAAATTGGAAAGGTGATTAAAAATTTTTCCTAATAACTAGAGAAAACATACTTTTGTGAATACTGTAACACTTCAACAGGAAAAATTTAAAATAAATATAATTTATCTAACAGTAAAATAAGGGAATCAGTGAATTCTAAATAATTGTTTTCTGTAAAAAGTGCTGAACCATTATCATAGCTGCCAACTTGTTAAAAACAAAAATAGGAAAGTTTTATGTGCAAAAAATCGATAAAGATATCAATTTATATCCCATACCTGTTTGATATTTAACATAATTGCTTTAACTAACATTTTTAATTAAATTACTCACTAAAGAAGATTGCTGTACCTTTATAGTGACTAATTCAAGAAAAAAATTACTTCTCACAATTTTTTCTTATCCTAAAAAAGATTTAATTTTATCCTGATATCAGATTTTAAAAATGTGAAAATACAAATTGCGTTATTGAATTTTTAAATCATGTAAATAAGAATCACGAGGCCTAATTTTTTAGACTGTGTGAACACGTATAAATATGAAAATCGATGTTTGATATTACAATCATGTGAATACAATACGCAATATTGGATTTTAAAAATGTGTGAATGCTGGCAATTAATATGTAAATCCTATCCTCTATATGAAGTAATTCCCAATAATTCAATACTAAGTAATTTTCCTATTAAGAATATTTTTAAGCTCAATTCAATAAAATATTTAATTCAATTCAACAGCTTTAGTTACGGATGTTTGTTTATGCTTTGAACAGCATGGATAGGGAGCGATGTAACTCTTGAGGTAGTAATGACGCCGGATAGCAGTGATTCAACTCTTAGCCTATCAACGATTGATGCTCGTCAAGAGCTTCAGGGAGGTTACTCAGTATATATGGAAGTGTTTCCAAAGCAATCTTCTTCAGTCTTTCCCTTTTAACGTTGGTCGAACTCTTCATAGTAGGTTAGATAGTTGGATGCCGGAGGGCAAATATGTAGTTGATGGTATCAGCCAGTACATCACGAATAAACATTTAATTAAATGTTTGAAAGTTTTTAAATTTGGATTTATATTTTAAACTTAGTCTTCAATCTTAGCTATGTATTCTACTACTCTGCTCTTTTGCCGCTAATAGTAAACAGTGAATATAAATCACGACATTGGGTTTTAAAATGTGTAAATACAAAATGCAATATTACATATTTAAATCGCATGAAAAGGAATCGCGATGTACGATTTTAAAACCGCGTAAGTATGAATTGCTATGCGTAACTTCTAACTCAAGTATATACGAGTATTGATGTTTGATATTAATATAGTGTGAATAAGAATCGCAATATTAGCAAATATCGGAGCAGTTCCAAATATTCAAAATGGCTAAAATCCGCCAAACCAGAAAAATCTAATTTGCGGAAGAATCATATGTATGTAAATGTCTTGTTAACTAGACTTAGAAAAAGTTTGAAAATTTCATGACATTATAAGTTTAGATACACGTACATGTATTGGATTAAAAGAATGAAAAGGCGCTAGAATACCAAAAAATCAACATTTTGACCTAAAATCGTATTTTCGGAACAAGGCTTAAAAATCAGAAGTCTGCAGCTATGCATTCTCAAAATGATGATAAAAAAAAAACATTAATTCATATTCATAAAAATAAACGACGAAAGAAAACTACAATAGTTCACCATTAAAATTAGTACCAAAAGGAACCTATTCTTGAAAGTATGGAGCAGTTTATAAAACATGTTCTCTTGATAAAACTGAATCAAGTACTACATCTTTGTAGAGAATCCATGTGGTTATTAGATCACATACAGGGGTGATGGTGACTTAGTAACAAAATCCTTGAAAGTGAAGGATGAAATATAAAGAAACCCTGAAAGTCACTATAGTGCAAACCTTATTGTATTTAAAATTGTTACGATTTCAAATGAAAATAACATGTAAAAAGAAAAAGAAAAAAAACATATAAAAACACAAAATCTGATTATATACTCTTGACTGGCATAAATCTAAATCCAAAGAGCTTGAAATTGTTTTAACTATAAATGTTGAAATATCAGTTACATGAAGGGTATTTATTAATTCTGTGTAAGAACACACACAAAAAAAAAAGGTCAATGAAATGAACCACTTTAAAAATGCTCTTAGTTTTTTTTAATTCTTCTGTATCAACAAAAAAAAAGCTAAGTAAATAAATCCATATCCTATTATTATTTACAACACATTAAAGTTGAGCACACTTCGTATTTAATTCTTCCGTATAAATGTTTATAAAAAAAAATCCTATTATTTACAACGAAACTCATTTAAATCTTCCGTATAAATATTTATAAAAAAAATCCTATTATTTACAATGAAACTCTAAGTCATCATTTCTTTAAAAAATTTCCTATTTTTGTTTGCTTTATTTTATTTTTATTGCCCTGTGCATTTTTCTCTTCCGCTGGCTACCCTCATTGTCCAGAATATTTTTTGCCACTATAGATGACTCCTGCGCTTCTGAATGGCTAGTTGATGGACCAGTAGTAGCACTCTTGGAACTGAGTGCTTGATTGTAGCTTCTCCAGCTACTCAATAAATTTCATCCAGAACTTCTTTTCATAGGTTCATGAACTGGATCTTTAGTTCCGAAGACATCAATTGAACTTTGACCCAGAGAGTTCAAACAATATTTAACAGTTTGAATTGAGTCTAAACTTTCAACATTTAGAGATGTTCTGCTGTCAGTCACAATGTCATCAATATAATTGAAAGTGCTTTCAACGAAAGGTTCATGAAAACAAGTTAAAACTGCCTTTACCACTTTGGAAAGTAATGGATACTTAAGTACATTTTAACTTTTTGGCTGTATTATGTGGTTCTAGAAAGAAATACCATTACCTTGCTGATAGAATTATAAGTATCATCTATCTGATATTCTCTGAGTTCTGAGTCTATAAGAGGTAGTTCTTCTTTAGAAATAACATTCGGTAAAAGATGAGTCAAATTTGTTACTGCTGTATATGTTGTTGTTTCTCCTCGTAAGGCAGACAACTTAAGGCAACAAATCCTATTTTTTCTTTCTTTACTTGCCAGTGTCACATTCTTCTTCGCAGGCACAAAATGTAAGTTTTGAATATATCTATATATACTAATAATTGGCGATAGAAAAACAGTCACATTTATAGTAACTAATTAAAGAAAAACTTACTTCTTACAAGAATCGCGATCTTGGATTTTAAAATCGCATGAATATGAAACTCGATATTCGATTTTAAAAATGGGAAAATACAAACAGTGTTATAGAACTTTTAAATCGCGTAAATACAAATCGCAATGCGGGGATAGCCTGGTCGGTAGGGCGCTGGGCCCATATCCGAGAATTCGTGGGTTCAAACCCTGCTGGCCGAAGACTCCCCATGTAGTAACGTGACTGATGCACATTAAAGCTGTCGAGTCACAAAAGTCCTCCATGTTCCCATAACAAATAAATGCCTCTGGGGGTACTGGATTGGAGATTGATCGTTCTCTGATTCAGGTCAAAATTACGATCTGTGGATGAATGAATGGGTCTGCCCTATAAACTGGTGTGACATATGGTGTGGCAGAAGTCGAATTCTTGGCCATAGATGGCGTCACTGGAAAACAAGAACAATCGCACCCCCTCTACCTAAACAGGCATACGTCAAAAACAACAAATCGCAATTCATAATTTTTAGATCGCGTGAAGGTAAATCTCAATCCCTTATTTTAAAATCACGTATAAATATGAAAATCGATGCTTGATATTATTACCACATGAACAAATCAGACATTGGATTTTAAACTCGCGTGATTCCAGGCTTGGAATTTCTAAAAGGCTCGTTTGAAACAGCGATGTCTGAATTACGAAAATACAAGCTATCTGGCAGGCAGGTAAAAATGCAGAAAATCTTACCTTTTAGGCTTATAAGCAGAGAAAGTAGCTAAAATAAGTAAAAATGCGGAAGGGTTGGCAGCTATGCAGTTTGAATTTTCTGTTTATCTTAGTAGGAATTAAATATAATTATTTTATTTCAACAGCTGAATTTTCCGAAAAAGCGGAATGTTTATTAAGAAAAAGTTAAACTTTTAGATAATCCGAGTTTTCGATAAAAAAGCTGACATTCGAGAGATACAAGAGAAAAAAGCAGAAAAATCTCAACCCTGATATATACACTACCCTACAATAATGGAAGATACACTTTCAGTTTTTGACACTTTTTAAATTTTCAAGAAATACTTTAAGGATTATTTTGTAACTTTAGATGTATTATGTTCCTGCAATTTTTCATAATTCGCAATAAAATTTTAATCTTTCAGAGGTTTGGAAGACCTACAATAAATTACAAAAGAAAATCATATTTGGCAACTAATGATAAAAGCTTAATTTGAATATCTAATAAATTTAGAAAGTTTTAAGCAATTTTCTAAGTAGTTTCTGTACTTTTTAAATGAAAGTTCAAAATGATAAGGGCTTTTTCACAAATTTCCTCTTGTACTATTAAATATGATTTATTAAAAAAAAACTGGCACAGTGGGGCACCACAGTATTTTTCTTTTCTAGTATTTTTCTTTTTCCCCCATAAAAGTATGCAAGTCTTTCTCTATACCATCAAAGTTCAGTTTCGGACGATTATTGTAAGGTATTATCATTTATTATTAAATTTTGTCTAGTGATACAAAATAAAATTTGTAAAATACACCTGATTTTTTGGACCGTTCTTTTGAAAAGTACAAAAACAAACTGGAAAATTGCTGGAAACTTTTTAAATTTTAAACTTTTAAAAAAATTTTCAGTGCATGCGCAGTATAAAAGAACTAGCATTATTAATGCTCAAAATTTGCAGTTCTTAATGAATTTTTTTTAAATTTTAAATCTAAAATTTTGTAATTAATCTTAAATTGCTCCAAAAATTTTGATTAATTACATACATTGAATACCTACAAAATTATAAGAAAAAACATAAGGCAAAAAAAAAAAAATTATAAAAATTTCCAGATCACCATAAATATTTACTCTAAGTTTACGAAACTTTATGCAGTTATTAAAAATAACAACTAAAGTCAATAATCGATACAAGTTACAAGCTTATTGCTTGATTTTCTGGCATAGGGTGTTCAAAAATATTTGTTTTCTTTTGTAATTAATTTTGAATTGTTCCAAAAATTATGTTTATTTTTTACTGAATATTTATATAGTTATAGTAAAAAAACTTATAAGAAAGAAGAAGAAAAATTAATAAAATTGTCCATATCTCCATAAATATTTAAGCAGGTTTAGGAAATTTTGAGCAATTATCGAATATAATAACCAAAATAATTGTTATAAATTTATTGCTACATTTTTTGTGCATAAGGTACTTAAAAAAACTTATTTTCCATTTGTAATTTATTGTTGGTCCCTCAAACCTCTAAAAGCCTTAAACTTTATTAATAAGTATGAGAAATTTCCAAACCAAAATACTTAAAATTCAAAAAATTATTATCAAAATATCAAGAAATGTGTTAGCGTAGAAGTGTTTCCATTATTTTGTTCACTACCTAATTTAAAACTAATGCATTTTAAAATTGAACTCCAGCAATTAAAAGCAATAAATTCATCAAGCTATTAATTATACGCATTTAATTGCATAACAGTTCTTGTTTTACAATTTAAAAGTAAACTTTAATTGCATCCAGTTAAATAGATAAAATTAACATCCTTAATCAGTTTTTTTATCAGAAATGTCACACTTGATCTTCGTTAAAATAAATGTAGAATTAAAAACTGATATCAATTACACTGTTAATTCTAAACTGACTGCTACTTTGACCTTGTTATTGTCTAGTTTAACTTAACAGGATACAAATATAGTGACATATAAAAACAGATAAAGAACACAGAAGTGAACAGAACAAGAAATGACAATGCTCTGTGCTGTAGAAAACACTATCCATTTATAAATTTTATCAACCATTGGCTGTTTAAAATTTTTAAAAATTACAAATTTTGAAACTAAGAGGCAAAAAAATTTTTTTTATAAGCTAAGTAAGATATTTAAAATAAAAAGAAACTTACGTTTCATTCCTTTTTCCTCTTTTTATTCAATAATTCAATATTACATTTTGGCAGTGAGGCAATTTGTTGCTCTAAATCAAATGTCCTGTCATAAAATAAAACACATAATTGATGACTGAAATTAAAAATTAAATTTTATCCTGAAATTAAAAATTAAATTTTATCCTCATCCTTCCCAAATCAAATTTTATCTAAAATTAAATAAATAGAGAGAAAGTTGTACTTTGGAGAGCATGTGCCTCAAATGAAATTATTTAAGCCAACTTATGGAGAAAGCATATGTAGTTGATACCTGATATTTCAGGTTTTATATTACAGGTATTTTTGAACATTTTGTAGGTAAATTTTTATGTGCAAAACCAGACTAATATTTCTGGTTTTCCAGGCATGTGCATAGAACTTTAGAGTAATATTTGTTTCTATTAATCATTTGATTGGAAAATTAAATCTTATAACACTTACATTTAAAAACAGAACTAAAGTAAGTATGTACCAAATTGCAAAAAAGATAAAATATCAAATTTTAAGAAAATTTATTTTTATCAGGCCTAACAAAATAAATAAAAAAAATGTGCTTGTTATACCATAGACTGGTTCAAGGTATGTACAACAGGACTAGATAACACAGATATTTCCCTGTGTACACTATAAAAAAAAACTTGTGTTGAAAAAAAAAATTTTTTAGTATAAAATATTCTTTGGTATTTCACTAATGATTTATTTTAGATTATGCAAGCTACATAAAAAATATAATTTAATTGCATGAAAATCACAATTAATTCAATAAATAAGATTAAAAGAAAATATCTCAAAATAGGTGACTCAAGGAGTAACATCCACTGGTCGAAGATAAAACATGTAGTAGTGTAAGATAAGATAAACTGTATAATACTTTATTTTACTTAATTATTACAGTAGGGAACCGATTATCCGGAACGATTGGGACCATCGCTTTTCCGGATAACTGATTTTTCCGGTTTTCTGAATCGCTACAAAAAGTCGTTTTTTTTTATTGTTAAACCAAACTAAAAAAAAAAATTATTAGGAAATAATCTTAAAAAGAAGAAAAAGCGATGAAGCAATACAGTAATGATTATTTATAAAATGATGGTATGGTAAACATCTTTCAATAAAAGAAAGAAACATCCTAAAATCTTATGAGGAAAAAAAAATTTCTTTAAAATATGGTGGGAAAATTTATCGAATTTCTTTCCGGCTTTTTGGTTTTCCGGTTTTCTGATTTCCGGATAACGCGTTCTGTACTGTATTTGGAAGTGTACAGACAGAATTTCTACAAATATATTAATAAACAAATGTATAATGAATTCTCCACAAAATGTCCAAGTTACTTGAATTATTATTTTCTGCATAAAAAAGTCAAAATTGTTCCAAGGTACAACTCTCTCCCCTATATATTTTTAGTGTTTAAATTTACACAGTTTGATGATCTAAGCAAAAATGCATAGTTTTAATTCTCTAAAAATATAAAATGATGTTACTTAATACTTGATTGCCAATTCTTTTAATTCTAAGGACTAAATCCAATAAAAATCAATAAAATTTTGAAACAGCTAAAAGAAGTTATTCACTAATGTTTACCGTAATATTCGTTTATGTAGGTATTCAGTTTTTTTCCTTGCAAACAACATATAAATTTTGTATACTAAATATTTCAGACACTGCAACTATGCAATATTTACAAAATGTAGTCTTTTGATTTTTGAAGAGTGGCAACTCTGCTACCTGCATCAAGGACTAAATTCTAAAAATAAAATTATCATACATCAATTTTTATTTTCTAACTTGAACTTTTACTAACTTATGATTAATGCTGCTTTACCTACAAGCGCTTTTAAGCTGCATTTTTGCTTTTACATTCTTATACAAAATCAAACAGTTTACAATCAATTACAGTTTACAATAGCTGCTCAAAAGAGTGATGACCAACAGAGACACGAGATTCAAGGTGGCACATTGATTGTTGTATTAGTAAGCATCAGCAGTCTCTATTGGTTAAACATGGTATATCTGCACACATTTCTTTTATGAAATATGCTTATTTAAGTCCCCTCTACCAACCTTTATATTTTTCAGGGGTGATTGTGAGCCCAAGTCAAAATTTCGAAAAATTTCTTGAGCAAAAAAAAAAAAAAAAAAAAATTTAAACAAGGTTTTTTTTCTTTTTTCTCAATATTTCGTTGTCTACTTAAAATATATTTAAAATTTTACACATACCTATGATGACTTGGAGAAGTAATTGAAATTTACAAATACTACGTCTTTCTTTCTTGTGTTTATGATTATAAGAGCTATTTACTGATAAAAAATGAATATTAATCTTGAATATAAGCTTATAAAGTATCTCTCTGGCTTTCCCTTACAAACAAGTAAAATAAACTGTGTTTTTAAGTTCTACCTTTGAAAATTTGATTGCCAGAAGCTTTTGTGATCAATGATTTTTTGAAACGTCTGAACCTTCGATCTCCGGAAACTTCCGGATCACGGTTAGCGAAAAATCCGGAAATCCGGCTTTTTTTAGGAGCACAATCAGCCCTGATTTTTGCACCACCTTGTAAAATATTCAGTTAGAACCATAGTTTAAAAATTAAAATTGCTTTCAAGAAAGACATAGAATTATATGCATTTTAAAGAATTTTTTTTCAAATTATGAGTAAAAAAGTTTAAAAAAATTGAGAAAGAAAAAACAATTATTTTTTGTTATTATGCAATGAAACTTCAATATTACAAGCTCAACATCAAAGATCTAGTCTTCTAGGCATTTTCAAATATTAGTAATTTTATTTAAAATACAATAAAAGAGAAGGGAAATGGCCTATCTAAAGAAAGAAAACATTTTGTACAGTACAGAACCCGTTATCCGGAAATCAGAAAACCGGAAAACCGAAAAACCGGAACGAAATTAGATACATTTTCCCGCCATTTTCAAAAAAAAAAAACTCTTTTTTTTCTCATAGGATTTTAGGATTTTTCTTTCTATTTTAAAAGATGTTTACCTTACTATCATTTTGGAAATAATCATTAGTGTATTACTTCATCGTTTTTTCTTCTTTTTAAGATTATTTTCAAATTTTTTATTTTTTTTAGTGGGTTTAACAGTAAAAAAAAAACGGCTTTTTGTAGCGATTCAGAAAACCGGAAAAATCAGTTATCCGGAATTGCGATGGTCCCGATCGTTCCGGATAATCGGTTCCCTACTGTACTACCAAATGTATTTTTCAATTTGGTTCAAGTAAGAGAAATTTATTTCACTGAATTAAGTTGAAGCTGGATTTACATCTTGATAACCTCCAAATTTGATCTATTAAGGAATTAGAACTTAGAATCAAGGATTAGAAGCCAATAATGAATGAAGTGATGAAGTTTAAATGAAGTGATAATCCAAAGAGTCTGAAGCAGGTATATCTACCCGTCAATGGAAATTTAATTATCTTCACAATTAAAGTGGAGAAAAACTGACAACCAGGGTTGGGTTTTTGACGTCAAAAAGTGGTTTTTGACATGACAAGGGTATAATACTGGTTTAAACTGTCAAAAACTGAAGTTTGCCAAGAAAATATATAAACTTCAAAACTACCAACAGTTGCCATGCATTATACTGAAATTAGCAGGTTTTAAAATATTTTTTAATTAACAGATTAATTAAGGTAAAATAACAGATTTAAAATCTCAGAAATTTATATTCAAATGCATGTGCAGAAAAATTTTGCACAAAAATTGTTTAAATATTTATATTTCGAAGAAAATAAATTTTATTTTTTGATATTTAAGAAAATTAAAAGTTTATTACTATGCATTTTTGACATATAAGGAACATATAACTAATATTTATAAGGAA